TGACAGAATAGAAAAGAACTATATTAAGAGAGATGGGCTGTTGAGATCTGTACTGGCTGGGTACATCTAAGAAGCTGGAAACCTTAACAATACAAACCTAACTCCAAACCACCTTTCAAAAACTGAATTTCTCTTCTAGAGGGTGACTAGTTGATAAATAATGTAAGGCAAGAGCTCTTACTTAAAGCTTCTAACACTAAGGGTATCTAAAATTAAACTGCATGTCTACTTGGTAAAACTTTTTAAATCTATCTTTCCTGTAAGAGATTTTAAGAAACCTACTATTTTATTTTAAAAATGTCACTTCCATCCTGCTACTGTATATTGATTTGTTTCACTGTATCTTGATTTGTTCTGATATATAGGTGGAACTAGGCAACTAATAGTATTTACTTAGCAGTTCCTAACATTTATTTCTTGAGTGAAAATGGGATGAATGGTGGGCTTAACTACGGGTTTTTGGAAAACAACAGTGATTTCACCATTTTTCTCTGTATACTTATGAAAACAGCTTATAGCGACAGGGAAATAAGGGAGAGTTTGGGGAAGAACAGAACAAACTCAACCGCTAGAGTTTCACTTCTCTCTCGACAAGAAAATCAGAGACCAAAGGCGCTATTTCGAGCTTCTTTCAACATGTGTTGACCTAATAAAACTGCTAATCAATTACCAACATAATTAACCAGTGTAACCTGATTTTTAAAGACGTTCTCATTTGTGATTTAAAAGAATTGCCTGAATTTCAGGGTGTCAGTCCCTCCAGGGCAAGTAAGAAGTGATGAACTGGCATCAAAGTCACATATTTTAAACTGAATATACTGATACCCAAGTGTCCCCCAAACAATGTCCACTCTGTTGCCCACGAATTTACCAGAAAGTCCTGTTAATAACCCAACTTCGTACCTCACGGCCATCTGTGTCAGCCAGCACCTTCTGGGAGGGTGCGGGCCATGGACGTTGGGGTGGGCTGGGAAGGTTATAACTGAGGAAACTAAAGAAAGGCGCCGGCGGCAGAGCCTCTTCCAAGGTCTCAAGAAAAAATTGTTGCGGAAATAAAACTGCCGCAATTTGCCCAAGTGGCCCGGAATCGAGGCTGTGGTCCTCGAGTCGCGGCCCCGGGGGAATGCGGCCACACAGTCCTCCACCAACCACTTCTCGCGCGGTCAGCGCGCCGACTGGCTGCAGCCGCTCTTAGGCGGCGCGGCCTCTCTCTCAGGCCCAGCTGGTAGCGGACGCGGGCGCCGCCGAAGACCCTCCCAGCCCGCCCGCCGCGCTGAA